CCATTATCCGAAACATTGCCTTAAGTTGGCCCTGTGTTTCGGATATGCGTCTTCTTTAAGAACGCTGGTCTTTCAGCTGAAGTCAAATTTCAGTAAGACTTGTTCTAAAGAGGTTAGTCCCAGAAAGCTAATATCCCAAGCATTGCCTTCAGTTGGCCCTGTGTTTCGGATATCCAACTTTCAGACAGTCAATCTTCAGTAAGACTTGTATCCCAGAAGCATTGCCTTCAGTTGGCCCTGTGTTTCGGATATCCATTTTGAAGAAGTTCAGAAATTGCTTATTCAACTAAAGTCATACTTCAATTTCTGTGGGGGCAAGAAGCACGCAGTGCAGCTATGTTCGGCAGAGTTGAAGAAAAGAAACAGTAAAGCATTCAAAAATAAAGCAACTGAAGAAAAAAAATTGAGCTACAAGTTCAATAATTCAGTATCGGCAGCCGCCCACAAGCGGAAAATAACAGCTGCCGAAATACGTACATAAGCAAAAAAATAAAACTGCTGTACGACAAGGCAAGCTGAAGCAAAAAACAAGGCAAAAAACTCAGAAAGCGGCAAGTCTAAAGTTAAGCACATGATGAACCGCAAGATTCTGAAGACGACTGCCCGAGTTCCTATGCTTCAGCCGGGGGATCAGACTGATCAGCGTTGAGTCCCATGGTGGCCTCAGCCCCAGCAGCAGAAGAGGCGGGCTTTGCACTTTGCCGAGCCTCCCTTTCCCTCTGCTCAGCTTCCAACTCCAGTCTTTCAGCTTCCTCTTCGGCTTCCTCAGCCTTAAGAATTTCAGCTTCAGCTGGAGTTGCAAACTTCATGTGAGGGTCTTCGGGATTCTGGACCCACTCAGCACATTTAGACCAGTCCAGCTTCGGCTCAGCATGAAGGCAGACTCTTCGGCATACTCGGAATCCGTTTCTGAAACCCATCTCATATTCCTCTTGGGTATATACACGGACATTGAGTAAAGCCTCAGCATCAGCCAGCTTCTTCTGGGTCTCCTCCAAGTCTTCCTTGGATTTCTTCAGCTCATCAGCGACTTGGGAGGAGGAACCTCTCAGCTCATTCAGCTCTTGCTGAATTTGGAAAGCCTTTGTCTGGGCCTGGGCCACTTCAACTTTCTGGATCAGCAATTGATCCTCAGCCTTTTGGAATTTAGCTCTTTGAGCTTCAGCAGCAGCAGCAGCCTCTGAGAGTTGGACGTCTTTGGCCAGGAGCAATTCTTCAGCAGCCATTCGGCTGGCTTCAAGAGCCTCTAGACGCCGCTGCACTTCAGCTTGTGCAGCAGTTCCTTCTTGAATTCGGCTCTCAATAGCAGCCTTGAATTTGGAGACGTCCACTCCCATATGCTCCTGGAGGAATTTTTCCCCTTCCATCAGTGGGGGAAAAACCTCCATCTCCATAGCATCGCAGAAGGTTTTCAGAGCTTCGGCAGCTTTTTTACCGTACTCCTCAACCTCCTGCTGCTTCTCTTCAGCTGCTGCTTGCTTCAGCTTAGCAAGCTTAACTTCCTCTTCAGCCACCTTCCTTTCGTGCACAGCAGCGTCTACCCTATCTTGTAGGGTATCTATCAGCTCTACAGTGAGAGTCTGATTGTGCACGAACTGAAAACAGGAAGACAAAAAAAATATAAATAAAAAAAAAAAATATATATATATATATATATATATATATAAAGAGCTGAATTTCGGAGGAAATGAAGGAAAATTACCTGCATCATCAGCAGTTGGTTAGACCTGGCTGGGTCAGGAACTGATCTGCTGGATTCGCCCATCCCAGCAGTGGCCTTCAGCGACCAGATCCTTGCCCTGTCTACTTCGGACATGCCAGCAAAATTGCCGAAGTAGGCTGCAGCTCCTTCTCGGTTTTGACCCCATATGAGGTCCCAGATGTGATCTGGGATCGGAATTCGGGGGGCCGAAAAACCCATTTCTCCAGAATGCAGAGTCTGGAAAGAAGGGAAGGATGACGATGGAGCTTGATTAGCTTTGGTTGTCTCAGCATCATCCTTCTCAGAGGAGTCAATTACTATGACCTCCTCTTCTTCAGGGGTGAGGACGAAAGCCTCAACCTCTCTTGCGATGTCTGCCGTGAAGCCCTCAGCGCTGGACATAACGGCATCCTTATTTTCGTGCTCATCAGCACTCTTCTTCATTTCTTCTTGGACCCCTCCCTTAGGTTCGGGAGTTCTCTGATCCACCTCCATCTCAGGAGGTGGCGGAGGGGTCTTTTGAGGAGATTGGGGTGTTGGCTGGGGAACCCTCGGCGATCCATTGCCTTCCTCAGGTTCCCTTATTGCGACGCCGATGGTCATCGGCCTCTGCTGAAAGTCATGAGGGCCGATGATGGCCATCCTTCGGCGCCTTTTCAGAAGGGGCTGCTCGTCCATATCTGAGTCTGAAGACTCTTGTATTTGGTCTTCGGGACGAACAGGAGCTTTGCCTTCTCTGTGTCTGTTACTCTCTTCAGACTGTAACAGACAGGGGGGAAGAAGAATGTGAGTAAAAAAAAAAAAAAAAAAAAAAAAAAAAAAAAAAAAAAAAAAAAAAAAAAAAAAAAAGAAGAAAAGAAAAAAGTTGTCTGAAAGCTCACCGAGGTTTTCAGCAAAGCCTCGTCTTCTTCAGCTGCTCTAGCTGCAGCTTCGGCTTCAGCAGCTCTGGAGGACCCTTCTCCTCCTTCGCAAGCCTCAAGTACCCGTGCAACCTCTTCGGCTGTGCGGGCAGCTTCAGCTTCTTCGTTCAGCAGCTGAAACCAAGGGTCTCTCTTCTTCCACCAAGGCTTCTGCCTCTGATACAGAGCAACAGCCTCAATCTGGAAGTGGGAAGAATCCAGATGAACTTCCCTATGCCTCGGCTCAGTGATAGACGGGGCCCGTTCAGTTACAACTCGCTCTCGGTTAACACCAAGACGAGCGTAGTTAATACCAACGTTGGTCTCGTCCCGCTCTGAAAAAAGGAAAGGGAAAAAGTTTAGCTCAGATATGTCGGCACAGCATAAAAAAAGCAAAGCGAGAGAAGAAAAAGAGGTAGTTAAAAAGCCTCGGCCCCAGCCGAAGAAGCTTACCATCCTTAAACTTTCGGCTGAGGCCAACAGCTGCTAGCATGTTCTCTTGGAAAACGTAATGCGTATCGGGGAGCCAAGTCTCCGGGATATGCTGCATTCGACCACTTCCCCCCGGGTTCGGCAGCTTGCCGAAGATATGTTGCTGATCCAGGTTCGGATCCGCCCCGTTATCTGCGGGGGGACCTAGACTTCCCATTTCGGGATCAGGCTCAGCTAAGTACCGGGGAGCGCTGAAGACGCAAGGGTGGCCCGGATCTGTGGGTGCCCTAACCCAAATCCATTGACCTCTCCAGTCCTTGTCTGAAGAGTCATTTGGCCACATGGTCAAGTATTGGGGCCGGGACTCAATCCGATACCACCCAGAACCATGGCTTCCGTGCCCACTTTGAATATTTGGCACTAGCCGATGGAGCTTTCTGAAGCAGTGCAGGTTCGGCACGTACTTGAAGAACTTGCAGACCCATAAGTATGTCATCACCCTTCGGATGCTGGTGGGGGTTAGCTGACATAGGGAAATGTTGTAATGGATCAGCAAGTCTCGGACGAAAACGTCCAAAGGGAACCTCAGCCCATACTGAAGCTGTCTCGTGTACACCCCCACATACCCCGGGGGTGGACGATGGATTCTATCGGATGCTGAGGGCATTCGGCACCAATATCCATCAGCTTCAAAAATGCCGTAATGCAACTCAATTTGCTCGGCAAATCGATATTGATCGGCGTTCTCTACCCACCATGAGTAGGGGCGGTTCTTTATCATGGCCGAAACGACTTCGGCATTCTCCCACTCTGAAAACCCAGGGAGGATATCCCAAAGGACAGCGGGAACTTCATCATCCCGTCCAGAAGCGCTCGGCTCATCTGTTCTTTGAGGAGGAGCCGAGGAAAGGGGAGTCGCCCTAATCCCTTCAGCAGGGTCAGACTCCGGCCTTTGACCATTCCAGGTCCCAATCCTGTTCCTAGGATCGGGAATCGGCCTTGCTCTTCTTGGAGCACGGGCTCTACCTCTAACTCCTCTTGCCATGGATTATTTCGAAGAGAAAAGTCGAAAGAAAAGGGGAAGGAGTTCGAATTCGAAGAAAAAATAAACTGAAATCAAAGGAATTTACCTTAATCTGAAGCGAAAGTTGCCGATTTACGAGTTCGTAGTGGCAAGTCTCAGTTTCTAAGCTCAATGCTCGGGGAATTTGCGAAGTTTTGATGCGGGTTCTTGGTTTCTCTCTCGAAGAATTCTGGGTTTGTGTTGGTGAATAAGTGAGGAGAATGACGCGCCTCTGTTTACATCTCCAGGTACGGGATACGAAGAGTCTGTGCTTTAATTTCTCTTAAATACCCACTAAGTAGCCATTAAACACATGTCTTGTGATTAAACTGCCCATTATCCGTCCAACTTCCGCAAATCATTAACCGTTGTTATCTCATTAATTACGGTTTAAATTCAAATTTTTGGATCAATTAAATCATTTACCTCCCTCCTTTTCTGAATTAAATCAAACCCGACCCGTCATCCTTCCAAATCGGGTCTGGGGGGCAAGTTGTTTGGGTCCAATTTAGTCAAAATTGGGCCTAAGCACTAAATGATCCAATTAAAAGCCCAAGGTCAAGGTTCAACTCTCCAATTGCTCAAAAGTCAAAGGTCAGCCCACAAAGTAAGCCAATTGGGCTAAAGCCCAACCTCTCCATGTATGATGAGGTATAAAAGCCATCATATTGACACATTCAGGGGGAGAGTCATATTCCAATTCGTATGCTCATTCTTGCATTCAGAAATATTCCACAAAAGCCTCAAGCTACAAACTCTCTTGCATAGTGTCTTCCTTTTACACATTATACTGACTTTAGCATCGGAGGGGCCTTCCTCGGAAACACCCCCGAGGCTAGTTTACGTGTGTTCACTGTGCAGGAAACCTTCGGCCCAACACAACTTGGATCGAATCCAGTCTTCTCCATTTCAACGGACCTTCGGCAAGGTCCCATTGTTTTCAACCGAAACACCATGTTAATGAAAAGAGTGCATTTTTTGTTAAGCTGTAAAAATTTGTTGCCCAATTTGAGTCTCAAAAGTTACTTCCGAAACTAAGTTAATTATCATACCTTATTGTATTATGATGTAGCACCTAGATCACATCGATACATATAGTTCGTATAGTTTCATCACATAAAAAATTACGGAGTACATAAGATTACGAAAGATGCTAAGAAATGCAAGATGGTGGCTTTTGGAATCCAGAAGCGACGCCCTTGACATTGTAACATGATGAAATAGTTGGTCCTTTGTTACTTCCATACCTCAAATTTATATTCTCTATCTCAACTTCACATGGTCTATATTTACTGCATTGTAAATTTACTGCAACATAAGTTTGTGAAACTCCCATAATATTCACAAACTTCACATCGCTTATTTGAACATGAGAATCTCCCTTCAATAAAGAAAACACAAGTGAATTAGAATACATTCTTTCTTTTTTTTTTAATTTTTTTTTTTTTTGAGGAATTAGAATACATTCTACTAAATATTCCCATATCTAAATGAAATAGGCCTCTTATATAAGCATGTAACATATGAAAGTACATTTACTTAAAAAGATAAACTAAAATTATACTTCGCAATAACATTGTCTAACAAGGTTCGAAGGGAAGTAAATGTCCTAGAGGTATTCGTTTGATTTATATATTCATATTATGTGGAAGTCAATCAGCTTAGTTGGTTAAAGTTTTGAAAGTAGACATATAATAATCTCATTAGACATTACCTATTCTTTCGCCTGAAGAAATAAAGTAAGAACCCGTCTCAAATAATAGAGTCAGAACAATCCGATTAAAAATAAAGAGATGTGGAATTACCTTAGGACACTTATGTGATGGACAATAATTTTGATCAATAATGATGGGATTACTAGCATTGTTAACAAAAATACTCTCAAATGAAACTTGAGCAACTTTCCCAGCATTCTTAGTAGCCCATGTCTTAATCCTAACACCATTCATGGTATCAGTGAAGTTGCAATTTTTCACATTTATTCCCTTCACTGCAAGCTCATTGGGCCCGAAACCCATGCTCCCGATACTAATCCCGTGGCCCGGCCCGCATCGAGTACCTGTGATGTTAACATCTTCAGCTCCAGGAAGGAGTGAAATGCAATCATCTCCAGTAGAAATCTTTGAATCTGATACTTGGATTTGTCTTGAGAAGGCAATGTTGATTCCATCAGTGTTAGGGCTATTAGGTGGGGCTGAGACATGAATTTGGGTTATCGTAACATTTTTGCACCCGAATAGTTTGATGTGGCTACCTTTGCTATCGACGAAGTTCATATTGTTGATCCTTGAATTGTTGACGAAAGTTAACATCAATGACTGTAACACAACAATGAGACAGTCGATAATATGTTAGGTATAATATAAATTCTGTTGTTTTAATAAGTGTTACAGTTTAACTTCCGCGAATTCCTAAGTAATTTACCGTTGGAAGGTTGTTGATCGATGGGTTATCTTCCATTATCTTGAACCATGAATCTGAGCCTTGCCCATCAAAATGCCCACTACCAGTTATACCCAATTTATCTACATATCTAAATTCAACCCAATAGGTCAGCCCAATATTAACTTTATGGGCCTTCAAAAAGCCTGCATTGTGGAAATCTATTGGGCCCATGCATGGGCCTTGAAACAATAGATTTCTCAACAAGTATTTCCCACGTGGGATTTTAATTACCGCTTTGCCCTTCCATTTGCATGCTTCATTCCATGATCTCTCAAAGGCCTACAAGGTAAAATCAATTTCACTTTTAAGACATTTTCATCATCACTCAAATTATTGTGTAAAAAAAAAAAAAACTAAAAAAAAATTGTTTTAGCATCAAAAATACTAAATATAGATTCAAAATACATACTACGTAAATTTTTGCGATTATAAACCCATTTCTCATAAGATGTAGGGCTGTACACATTTTGGTCTGGACCGTAATCAAATCAGACCAAACCGTATTTTAGCAGTTTGGTTTGGTTTACGGTTTATAAAATTACGGTTTGGTCTCGATTTTTTTGTAAATATGGTTTATGGTTTGGTTTGGTTTTGCAAAAATTATAAACCAAACCAAACCGTAAACCAATAAACCGTATTTTAATATTTATATAATTTTTCAATAAACTTTTTTTATATTATATAAAAATATTAAAGAATAAATAAAAAACCATGAAAAATAGATAAAAACTATACTGTCAATACTCTATAATTAATGATTATAATGTAGTACTCATATGAATATCTTTTATTGTTATGTATTATTTTTATTATGTGTTAGCACTTGATATTTTTATTGTAACTTTGTAGTACAATTTAATCCGTTTGGGCTACTTATTTAAACATTATTATAAATTAGTGAAGTATTATTTGACAATTTTTGGAAAAAAAAATATCATCTCATCATAAACCGCAAACCAAACCGTATTATTACGGTTTGGTTTGGTTTGGTTTCAATACTAATATGGTTTGGTTTGGTTTGAAAAATTTACCAAACCGTATTTTGCGGTTTGATTTGGTTTGGACTCAAACCGCACCAAACCAAACCATGTTCACCCCTAATAAGATGTATGTTTGCAACTGTGAGTATAATTTTTGTATACCAAATACGTGCATATATATAGTCATGTGCGTGCAAAAGGGGGAGGTTAAAGAAATCTTAAAACATGAATTACGTACAAACATACTATTTAAAATTGCGAAAAATTATTTTTAAATCTCAATTTAAAGTAAAGACAATATTTATTTTAAATTATTTCAGTTTTTTATTTCTCAGAGTTAAGAGAATAACTAAAAACAAATTAAACTAAACGAGCACATGCAAGAGACCAATTAACGAGGATTAATATGATATAACAATCACAAATTAAGCCAATTATGTAGATGAAATTCAATCCTCACCTTGTATACTCATGATCATAACAACTAATTAACGAGGATTAATTTGATATAAGGACGGTAAGGTGATCGTTATTACCTGTGAATTATCATAATGGTCATCACCAAGAGCACCATAATCTTTAACGTTGAAGAATTTCACCCCCTTAATTGCTTGAGAGAAACTCAGCATTAGCAAAATCAGTAGCAAACTCAAATCATCTCTCTTTCTTATTGTCATTTTTGTCTTTTTTTCTTACACTGATATTTTCTTTCTAGGGCTTAAGTTTGTATGTATTGATCTGTTTCATCAACGATTAATAGCTTCTTCAAATTATATACATAATTATTTTTTATTTAATTAATTAATTTAATTTTTTATTTTTATGTGACAAGTGGTACACACAACATTAGGGTAAAAAAATGTGCTCGTATTTTGTACCTATTCTTTTATTATTAACTAACGTTTGACCTTTTTGCATGCGGGCGTGTAACCATACATGCATAAGAACAAACTGAAATAAATGGGAAATGAGCCTATCATAAAGAATTGGTTGCTCACTTTCAAAATAACAAAATATAAAAACTTATTTTCCCAAAGCTAAAAAAAAAAAAAAAAATCTCCAGTCAAAATTCTATAAAATTAATATTTTAAAATTGTACTTAATATATTAAAAACCGAATCTAACAAGTTCACATAGTATAGAAAAGTATTCTCATGACATTGAATGTCATACAACTAAGCAAGAAAGTATGTACGTACATACGAGTACTCCGTACAACATAAATATCAAACCTAAGATTATGTCTCATTAAAACATTACAAATCATGTCTAGGTACATGCAAATTAATTGCCCATAGGTTCAAAGTATGGTTTATCTCATTAATTAATTAGAAATGAATCTAATATAATTACTTTTTATTTTTATTGAAGATGAATACGAATTACTTTTATTTATTCATTTTATATTTTAGTAGCAACTAAAACAAAACAAAAGTAAATAGATTACACATTCAAAGTTTCAAACGCAAGGGTGGGGTCATACAACTTCTTTCTTATACTTCATACTTACCTCGGTTTTTTTAGTTGACACGTATTTCTTTTCATGAAGTTTTTTTTTTAATTGACACGTTTCTTTTTGGGGTAAGTATTTTACTTTACAGAAACGGAGAAGTATGAAGTAAAATATCAGTTGTATCTTTATGGGACCATAAATATATACCTTCATTCAATGAATTAAAACTTCATTTCATAGAAACCTACCTCATCCTACAATTACGGAAATTAAATAATTGAATATCCGTACATTACTAGGGCTCCTACCTCCAATACTATTTTGCTTTCTAATTAAATCTTCTCACTTAATTATCATTTTACATTATCATTCTATGATGACAAGCAAGATTTAGGAAATTGTACACCATAAGCCTTCCCAATAACATTAGAACAATTAGAAATGGTATTCTCTACATTGCTCTGAAACTTGATTTTAATGTCCCTTAACTCAATTTTATCGCATGGATTACTCCCACTGCATTGTAAATTCACTGCAACATTTGTTCTTGATGTTCCTTGGATGTTCTTGAACTTCACATCTCTTATTTGAACTCTTGAATCACCCTTTAAATCAAGCTTGAAAACGTTAGGGCATTAGCAAAGGAAAGAAAAGATTTATATGCATCGAAAAAGTTACTGGTGCGTGTATCTTATGCATTAGCCAGAGTTACAATAGTTACATGCATGTTTACAAGTAACACTTAAGGCTTGTTCTCTTCAACTTAATTTCAGTTTAACTCAGTGAATCAGAACAAGCCCTTATAGTTGTGAATTGAATTTTTAAAATATGATAATGTTACCTTAAAAATCTTGATACATACCTTTTCACAGTTTTTTTATGGACAATAATTCTGATCAAAGATGATAGGGTTATAAACATTCGTCATAAAAACATTCTCATATCGAACTTTCGTAACAAGGCCAGGATTATTAGTAGCCTTAGTCTTGATTCTTAAACCATTAGTAGTACCCAAAAGATGACAATTTTTCACGAATATTCGCTCAACACGTTCATCAGACGACCCTCCCATACTTCCGATACTTATTCCATGACCAGGACCACATTTAACCCCAGTAACAATTATGTTTTTCGAACCCCTAAGGATTGCAACACAATCATCTCCAGAAGCAATTGTGGAATCGGAAATTTTAATACCATTTGATTCACCAATCTTGATGCCATCAGTATTAGGGCTATCTTCTGGTGATGATACGGTTATTTGGTTTAGTTTAGTGTTGTTACATGCAAATAAGTTGAAATGGGTGCTTTGGCTGTTGATTAGCTTTATATTTTGCGCCTTTGAGTTTGTCACAAAGCTAAATCTCAGCAGCTGAAAACAACAATAAGATAAAAGTAATCAGAGGTAGTACTCAGTGGCGTCACCAGGATTTTCGAAGTGTGGGTTCGAAACTTCCGAAATTTGAAATCATAATTAACAAAGGAATAAAAATACAATAATTAAATATTCAGTACATAAATAAGTTCAAACTATGGATTACAAATAGATTACACATAGAAAAATGAAAAAAAAAAGACTATAGAAGCATTCTTCGAGTCTTCATACTTTGGAAGCGTTCCAATACATCATCATCACTAACTCTTGAAAATAAATCTCTTTCAAGAAAAGTGACTAAATTATCATTCAATAGTTGATCACCCATACTATTTCGCAACTTATTTTTTACGTATGTCATTGAGGAAAACACTCGTTCCACGCTTGCAGTTGCAACCAGAAGGATCAATGCTAGTCTTATAAGCAAGTAAACTAAGTTGTAAGTAGTATGCTTATTTGTTTCAACAACCTTTGCTACCTCACTATTATTTTCTGAAAACCATGTTAAGAGTGCAAGAAAATTACCCCTATTCCAAGATTCTTCACTTTCATTATGCCCACGACAAGCTAAACCTTGATTTAAAAGAAATCTAATACATTTCAATGAATAAGTCAAGCGAGATTTGTATTGTAGTTTAGCTTCCTTAGAATAAGTGCAAAGAGATTCAGCAACTGATGTCTTTGGGTTGATAAACATACTATATTTCTCAATAGCCTAATTATGGAAACTACCAATACCACCCACATGAACATCAAATCTACCAGTCTTATTCCATCCTCTAAATCCCCCTTTAATAAAGGAATCATTAACAGCCAAAGAATAATCAACTTTATCAGTGAACAAATAGCACACAAAACAAAAAGCCGCATCTTTCTCAACACTATATTCAAGCCACTCATATTTATCAAACCAAGTAACATTAAAACGGCGCATACCTCCAACTTTTCTTTGAGGAAAATTATGTGTGCGTGGATCACAATGTTTCTTTGTAATATAGCCTCTCCTTATGGCATCTCGATCATTAGGAGGATACTCCATAATTGGAATTCTTTTTCCAGGGTCATGTGGAAGAAGATCAACATCATAAATGCGAGTATCATCGGAGTCAACAGTAGTATTTGGAACACTTGGACCTGTGTTCTCAGGTGGTGGAATTGTTGCAGCAATAGGAACCTCATCATCATTAGGAGACACATGTTCTTCTATTGGAGGATCCCTTGAACTAGGTGAAGAACAAGTTGAAGACTTTTGTGACTTCCCGGCACGTTTCCAAAATGACTCTAAACTCATGGTATAATAGGTATATACTGCTAGTCTGCTACACACACATGATAAATGCAGAATGAAATCAATGAATGAATGATAAATCTAGAAAGCTAATTAAAACTATCGTAATTAAAGATTACAATCAATTACTCAATTAGTAAACGAAATCTAGACGGCAGAAAACGAAATAGCATATGAAATTATGAAAACTAGAAGGCAGAAAACGAAATACAGAAAATAGCATATGAAATTCAACAATGTAACAAAAAAAAATCCCCAAATTGAGAACTTGAGAAGTAAATTAGATAATTATAACCAAACTTCAGCAATTTACAAAAAATTGGCAATTCGTAATGTATATTAGCAATTTAGCATATGAATTTCAAGTATTCAATGATTTAGCAAAAAAAAATCCCCAAATTGAGAAGTAAATTACATTTGCAAAAAAAAAATCCCCAAATTCACTTACCTACATACACCGATACACGGCTGTGAGGCTGTCAGTGCTGTGACGGACGACGGTGGGTCTGCTGGCCTGTTGGGTGAGTGGCTGGTGCGCTGCCGCTGCCACCGTGTTCTGGCGTTCTGCTGACTGCTGCCGTGTTGCGCCGGGAAGAGAAGGAGGAAGAACGGGAAGAGAAGGACTGAAGGAGGAAGAACGGGAAGAGATTAAGAGAAGGAGGAAGAAGTTAGGGTTTTGCAATTTGGGGGAATGAGGAAGAGGAAAGCTGGAAACAGGGAAAGCTCAGGAAACAAAATTAAAAAAAAAAGTGTGAGTTATGGGTTTTGAACCCACAAACTCTTGTGTGATGGGAGGTAAAAATAACCACAAACTCATATAATACACAAATATTCTATTTAAACCTATTTTGATTTTTTTTTTTTTAAAAAAAAAGTTTTAAATTTTTTTCAAAAAATCAGTGGGTTCAATGAACCGACTTGAACCCACCCTAGCTCCGCCACTGGTAGTACTACACTACTACGTACTCCCTCCGTCCCTAAATTACATTCCTTTTTCTCTCTATTATGTGAGGAATAAATGCTTGAAAGAGGAATATAATTTAGGGACGGGGGGAGTATAAAATTTCAAACGTTGTGATTAAGTGTTTGTACTATAACTTACAGTTGGAAGGTACGGAGAGCCATGTTTTGGTGGGCCTACACCAATAAATGATCCTCCTCCACTTACTGCCAGCCCATTAACATATCGAAACTCGATCCAATAATCCCCACTAAGGCCCAATGGAGCCTTTAAAGTGCCTTTGTTTTGAAATTCTATTGGGCCATTACATGGGCCAGTCAATAATACTGAACCCACTAAGTATGTACCCGAAGATACAACCAATTTGGATCCATCTTTCCATTTGCATGCATCTTTCCATGCTTTCAAAAGTGCCTACAAAATTTTGAATTTATTAAAAGAGTTTATGAAATTGCACCTTACAAAATTCAACATTTTACCAACCCAAAGAAAAATAACATGATTTTTGGACATAGTGATAACATAATTTTACATTTTACATTTATTTTTCACAATGTCCAAAAACATAACCCTTTGTTAATCACAAGTTGAAATCTTGTAATTTTCACAATTATATTTTCTTTATATATGTACATCCTCCATCCCACTAGAATCGTCTCATTTGATCCAAAAAAGAGACATTCTAGTGAAATGTCTGGCCTCAACTAAAGCAATTTCAATAGGATAGAGCGTAAATTTATAAAGACTCGTTCAAAAGCCTAGAACATACTAAAAAAAAGCTCCTAAAAACATGCTTTAATTTTTCTTTTTCCTCATTTAGTAAATTAATGGTAAGTGGTGGCAAATTATGAATTAGATCATCAAATGAATTACCTTCCTGTTGTCTACTTCTCCACCTTTAACAGCACCATAATTATCCAAATTGAAGACCTTTGATTCACAATGCCCTTTGGTAATAAGACAAAAGATTAACAACACTAATAGAGTACATTTTGACATTCTCGATTTGATTTGCATCTCTATCAACCCGAGTGTATGTAAGAATTTGTAAAACTCACTCGAGAGAATGTAAGAATTTGTAAAACTCACTCGAGTGTATGTAAAAATTTGTAAGATGGACTTCGCATGTTATAACTGATTGATTTATATAAGAGGTGGTCACTTGAGATTACAAAAACGAAAAAGGTCAAGAAATCTTTACGATATTAAGGTAGATAAATGGTTTACTATATTAAGGTCAAAATCTTTTGAGTTTTTGGCTTAGTAAATTTCTTTTCCAAGAATATTTTTACCTTATAAAAATGATTGAGTGATAACCTAATGGCCTTATCCCTTATTATAGAAATTTCTTCACATATATGTATAATTACCATGTTTCTAACTAAAGTTTGAAGATATTGCTAAAATATTTACCCTTTTTATTATTTGTCATTTATCCTAGCAAATATTCTTTGTGATTTGCTAAGAATTACTTCCTCCATTGCTTAACAACTACTACGGCTGAGAGTGAGGGATATCTCAAGTGGTTAGAGCTCCCCCTCCGACTTCAGGTTATCCCAAAATCGATTCTCATGATCTCATCATTTGCCCTTGTGGCTCTCTAAACACCAAAAAAACAACTAGTATGACTAAATTTGACACATTAGTCAATGCATTATTTTGATTAATTAATATATACAAGTATATGAAAACTCGATATTTAGATACTAAATAGTTAAATGATTCTAACAAGATATCACATGATAATTCTTGTTTTGTATTTAATTAAGACACAATCATCTTATGACTAAATAAGTAAAAAAAAGTCAAAGTTTCAAATAAATTGTTCTATAAAAAGGGATAGGAGTATTAATTTTATTGGATTTTTTTAGGGTTAATAGTAAAATAGCTTACCACGGAGTAAATAAGTAGAAGAAAAAGTACGAGTAGTAAATACAAGCATCATATACTTCCTTTCTCGATCTAAAGTACAACTCCGTACGATATTGTTTGACTTTACCCTAAAAAAACATAGCTTATCATATTTTTAATGTCACCTCAAAAATCAAATCTTCCAAATAAGGAGTATATATATAGGCATATAGCTATATATGTGTGATATATATAATAAAATAGTGATATATATAATAAAATATAACATACTTAAAATAAATCTTCACTTTCTATGAGAACAAAAATGATGATTGATGGAGTAATAAATTAAAGCTTATAATTCCTTTCCTAACTATTAATTTTACGCTATGTATGGAATATTTTTTTTGGTGTTTAGAGAGCCGCTAGGGCGGAGGTGAGAATCGATCACATGATCTTTTGAAATCAAGAAGGAAACTCTAACCACTTAAGGTATTCCTCACTCTCAACTATGTATGGAATATTATTGGTATGCGTTTAGTTTTATAATATTGAAATTATATTATTGAATAGGATTATTATAAAAATCAATTATGATTTATGATTTTGTCCATTATAAGATTTTTAATTTTTTTTAAATGTAAGATGAATAGATTCATCGTCTCAACTCTCAAAAACTTGGACTATTTTTTATGGACCAACAAGTCGAATTTGATTAGGTCAAAAACCGTCATTGTTATTAATTGGATTATTAATAGTATTTTGCAGTCGATTTTCAAAATTAACTTGGTAGCTAAGGGCAACTCAAGTCTCTAATAGTGAGATACAAGAAGTTGTAAGCTACAATAATGTCAACTCTTAAAGTCAACACCTTAGCTTGTTAAAATTTTAAAACAGTCTTTCTTATGTAACTTGAAAGGAGACATGGGAAAAGATTAGCTTGATTATATTTGAAAACTAAAACAAAAAGATTACTCTGAGAAATTGTATATTGAGGAATTTACTCACAATTTCAATAAAAAAATGGGCTCGTAAAATCATAATACAAATGGTGTAGAATGCACAAAAAGTACATGTATGGGAGACTCCAAAACAATCAAGTATGTACGAAGAACTTCCTTCTAACAAAATCTATCAGAACAGAACAGCAGCTGCCGCGGTCAATGACAGCAGGGATAATAATGCAGAAACAGCAACTTTATGTTGGCTATTTTTTGTTGTTCCTGGTGCTGTTGTTGGTGCAGATGCGTCGCTTACTGGCACAACTGCAGGAAGAGGCGGCTGCTCCACATCTTCCTCGGTGAGGAGGGGTGTAGGAGGTGCTGCAGGACCCGGGCCAACTACTGCCAACAGACCACCAGGCTGAACTGGTGTCATGTAAGTCGGTAATTCTTTCATCTTCAGACACAGATTTCCTGCAGGAAACAGAGAAAACTGCATCAGTCCACTGTTACAACTTACTATAGCTAATCATGTATTTGTGTTTAGGATTGAGTACTTACTCTTGTATGAAGCAGCAGTTTTCGGGAAGTCTGTGATGACACCATCAACATTAGCTGCAGCGGCGAATGTATTTATCTGGACTATTGGATCAGAGAAGGCGTCGAAAGGTATGCTTGTAAATTCATTCATGAGAACCTGAACATAAACAGGAAGCTTAAGTGCCTGAAACCGTGGCACAACATCAGTCATATTTTCAAGGAACCCGTCTGCATTGAATGGAAGGATAGACTTCCTGTCAAGAACCACAGAATCAGCAAAGGTCTTGATCTCTGAAATAGTATCGTTGTCAGTCCCACTAATTATCTCGTCGACTTCATAGACAAGTTCATAATTACTCCCCTTTATTGCCTTAAGGACTGAACTGCTGGTGGACTGAATCATAACCTTTTTTGCTGTTGTACTGTTGTAACCAGCTTCGTCTAAGGCATCCAAAACTGTATCAATTATACTCATTCCCTGCTTCAATGCCAAGTATTGCGCATTCTGAACATTTACATCAGAGAAACAGAAAATCAGGATCCATTGAGGCTTTAGAAAAAAGTGAAAAGAAAGGTTCATCTGGACTAACAAGTAACAACAGCTATCGGCCTTTACTTACCTCTATCTTGATCAACACGCGAGAAAGTGATGAAGAATTTCTTGCTAGGTCCAAGAAGTCAGCCAAGGACATGATTTTTCCTGCATTCCTGTTTTTTGGGTTTCTGAGCAGAAGCGAGCCTGAGTATGGGCTTGTAATTGCCGCTGCAAGCAAGGATAAGTAAACGTATATGATGTCAATGAATACTATTATTACATAATTCTAGAAAGCATGCATTAAGCAGTTGACTTAAATGAAACAAATGTTAGACAATTTCACTTACGAGTTAAGCCTTGAATATCAGCCCAATCCAGACTGAATGTAAATAGTCCAGCAGCAGGCTGAATTTCCTTAACAGTTGACATAAGGTTCCTGAATTGTGTCGCGTCTGTGTTATTCATGAGATTGGCAGAGCTCAAACAGAAAGGTACACCATCCTTTGACATTTGAACTTGGCAATCAATCACTTCAGCGCCATCAGTAATAGCCTGTTTATATGCTAAGTCAGTACAGCCAGGGAAGTCTCCACTTGCTCCATTGTGAGATATAACCAAGGGCGCAGCTGAAATCCAACAGGTACAGACAGGATCACAGGAACAATATGTTAGAGATGTTTATGCAATACTTGATGACTTAAGACACGGAAATAAGAACTGAAATCCAATAAAAGAAAAGCAACAAACCTTGTGCTGATGCATTCTTGCCAAGGTGTGCAAAGCAATCTGCAAATTTTGATGCAAAATTAGCATACAGATAAAATTACAGAAAAAGTAGCAGGATTATAACATTGCTATTTATATCAGGAAAGAAACAAAGAGTATATCTCTCACCTATCGCTTCTGACGGGGTTATCGGGAAGTCAGACAGAACACCATCCACAGAGAAGTCCCCGTTGTCAATGAAGTTAAGATACTCATTTACTGGATTGTAGCTGTAGTTGTAGGCAATAGGTACATCATTTGCAAAATCCGCTGCAAAAACTTCAAGTCCAATTTTATGAGCATCATCCACCAGAGAAGTATGAGGCAGCAGATACGAGGATGCATCAAGAGGCCATATATAACTCTTCGGGACAAGGATTCCAGCAGCAAACGACTTAATCATAGTAAGATTTTTCAAGAGAGAATCATAAGTCTGGTTGGTTGAAGGTTCTGTTTCATCCTTTTCAAGAAAACGAAATATCAGTTTTGTTCTGGTCTGTCTATTTCCTGCTAATGGCCTTACAAGTCCTTGCAAAAAACCGGCATCAGGTGATGAGACGTGGGTGATGGTTATGTTCTGTGAAGCATTGATAATAAAGGTCCTCATGCTCAAGTTGTGCTGGCTATAGAATTCATTGTTCTGCATACAATCAAATTTACAATAATTAATCACCATTTAAAGATTTCGATACTAAATTTACATTACAATAAACAAGTCCTACCTGAACATTTAACCAGAAACCTGCAGGTTCATTCTGCATAAACACGTCCTCAACACTTTGAATTGTGGACATGCCATTAAAAGCAGGACTTCGACTATAAATCCCTTGAACCACTGCAAGACAACAGAATAGAATTCAGTACCAAACATCAAGATAAAGGAATACAAACACATAAACGACTTCATGAAATGCTTCGCGTACATATATAATCAGTATCATGTCTCAGTCTCACACAACAATGAAGGCATAATATAAATCATCAAGATTGACAAAAATAAGACAAAGAGGAAAAGTATTGCTACTAAGATTCATGATCAAGTTGCTCAGTTTACAACACATGTTAACTTAATTCTCTAAGAAAAACCTCTAGGAAAAATATCTTATATTCACACAGTTTTTCATACATGTTCATAAGCTATGTTACTCAGACTCGGCTACTAATGTCACATACAACTATAATGATCTACATACCTAATGAAAGTCATTCAAATATTATTAACTCAAAGTAAAGTGTCGAGTCTCAATAGTCCATCCTTGTGTCAAAATGAAAGTGTCGAGTATCCAACACAAGTACTTTCATGTAAAATCAAGAATGTCCATATATATATATATATATATATATATATATATATATATATATATATATATATATATATATATATATATATATATAGTTCAATCCAAACTTACATGGGATTGTTGAGAGGGTCTCAAAAGTAAAGTCGAGTGCAAAATACCCATCAGTTTTAACACCATTAACATCATAAGTATTGCTCCCATTATTTGGAAAAATGTCTGGAATGGCAGAGGAATTATCGAGTTTGATATCAGGGAAACAAATTCCAACTCCATCTTTTGATAATTGAACATCACACCATAACACCAAATCTGGCACACTAGTACCAATTGCAATTTGGTAGGCCATTGCACTAGAATCTGGAAACAACCCAGAAAATCCACCTCTTGCAACTACTAAAGGAGAAAATCCTGCAACAAAAAAAAAATATATATATATAAATTTTGTTTTTCATTTATATGTTTTAATTTGTTTAGTTCAAATAATTAAAATTATGGGTGTTAGATAATACTACAAAATTATACTACAAGAAACACGGGATTTACCAACTACGGTATAATTAGTCGTAATCTTAATGTTTAATTATGTATTCTAATGAATCTAATCTAAGACATGTAGTATAAGAAAATCAATCCGAGTTTAAGAAGAACAAGTTAGCAAATAAACTCAATGACTTGGTAGCATTTGAAAAGTTATGTATGTATTAGTGATTAATCTTCTTCTTTCTTTGGTTAAGTGTATAATGTTACTTAGACTCGAGTACTTGTATCATACCCAAGTGTCCTAGGTAAATTAGTAGAAAAAATAACGACTTTGGGTTGAACTAAAATGTTATAGTATCTCTATTCATACGAGAATATCATGAATCTAACACATGTACGATAAATAGTAAAGATAAAGAGTCCGACTAACATAGTCACGTATTATAAAACATAGGTATTGTATTGTTGTGTGGCATGAATACATGATCATATAGTATGACATGTTAGGTGCACATGGTATGTATCGTGTATGATTGTAAAATTGTAGTCCGTATTAGAGATTGAGAGTGGTTGGGGGTTTGACTTTTGGTCTTATTTGGAAGTTAATCTTAATTTTCTTGGACACTTTGCCTATTAATTTAATTAAGGCTCGTATAAAATGAAATTATTGACTTGGTAAATCTACCTTAATGTTGAAATTGACACATTTGAAATCTGCAAATACAGCTTGGAATTGATCCAGCTAACAGCTACTAATGACATGATTAATAGGACAAAAAAAATGATTATAAAATCAGCTAGAAAATTTATGATAGTTACATTTAATCCCTCCATCCTTTAAAGAGTGTCACCCACCATTTGATCAAGTTCTTTCTACCGTATCTAAACAACAAAATTGATACGACGATACAAAAGTAAGGAGAGGTCATACAAACTACGAAATATAAGAAATTGAGGATTTTTTTTACACGGTAAGATACAGGATGGGCCCCCGCCACCCTATCACGAACCCCCATCAGTTGGAGAAACCATCCCTCCATCTCATCCTCATTCCTCATTGGGAAATCATGATGTTAATGAAAAATTAGGTAATAATTATTCATAATTCAACTACCAAAGAATCTAACGTACTTTAAACCCAAATTTCTATCTCTCAATTAACCAAAAAACACCTCATAAAGTATATCAAAGAAAAGCTCCTATCTTTTTTAACATTGACAACGAAACTCCATGAATGAACATGATCAAACATTTAAAGTGAAAGAATTCCACCATTAAAGTTTCTTTTTTCATACATTCACAACTCTTTTTAATTTTAAAAAAAGGTCAACTTTAACCATTCTTCCCAACTTTTTACATGAAAAGCACACATTTTTTTTGGGTGATCAAAATAATGTAGCTCCATTCCTTTATTTGGTGGCTTCCAGAAGCTCCTACACCTTGACCAAACTAACTCTTTTTTTTTTTTAATTTAACCAAAATATTTACATAATTTATTTTTCCTTAATTATAATTCGCCGGGTTTAATGTTTAAGGGTGGCAATGCCATAACTCACTTAGTGACAACAACACTATCCGTGGTGGAACAAGTTTTTGTACACGAACATTTTAACCTTTGTGGAATAAGTTTATGTACACGAGCATTTTAACTTTGGTGGAACTTGATCGACCTCCAACTATATATCGACCTCCAAACTATAACATATAAAATCAAGATAGATAAAATGTAAGAAAAACCAAAGAAAGAGTACATACCATCAAGTGTCAACCATTTGGAGGTAGTTCCTTGGGCAGAAGCAAATGTAAATAACTGAATTAACAAAATTAAACCTCCTAAAACCCGAAAATTGTTCCTACAAAACATCTCTTTATTCTTTTTTTTTTTTTTTTTTTTTGATGAATTTTTTTCAGAGCTTAGAAGAGAGAACAAAGATTTTAAGAGAGAGAATAATGGTGTTAGAAGACTTTATATATGTTAATGAATTTTTAATAAAATACTATTACAACAAAAAAAACAACGTATAAAAAGTATAAATTACGTGTATATAAGTGGAAAACAAAAGGAATATATAATTAATTAAATGATGATGATGAAGTTGATGATGATATAATTGTGGGATAATATACTAGTACTAGTACATGTTTTTGAGCATAACGCGGAAGCACGTATATTAGTATGTTTGATTTATATCTATATTTTATAATATAACAAGTCAAAGACAATAAGCTTCATTATTTACGGCCGGCATTGACGGCTGCCAACTTGTATTAAGCCAACTGTTGAGCATTTTAGAGTATCTACACCACTCCATTTCTTTTGGCCATGTCTAAATGAGTCGTTTGAATCGAGTTTGGTTTGGGTGAAATCTTATATAAGGCGGTTTTTAGTTTGGTTTGGGTCATGTTCTTGCCTACACGACAAGTTTACTATACATGTTTTAACGAGTTGTTTGACTCGAGTTTGGTTTGGGTGAAATCTTATATGAGGCGGTTTTTAGATGGTTCAGGTCATATTCTTGCCTACACGACAAGTTTACTATACCTGTTTTAACAAGTTGTTTGAATCGAGTTTGGTTTGGGTGAAATCTTATATCATTGTGAAGATTAGCTGATTCTTTAGGGTACTCGCTAATTCTTCCAATCTCCCCCAACGCGATGTACCCCTTGTTGATATAGTGTGAGTATGACGAGTATTTTAGGAGATGGGAGGTTCTTTGGACCGGCGTGTTGATTAATATTTTCTAATTTACATAACGACGAAGAGATTAGTAGGATAGAGCATGCCTTTCGCTGGCTGATATGAAGTGTGATTAGTTTAATCAGGAATCAATTTGCCTGATACTCTGTTAATTGTATTGGTAATGATTGATTGATATGATAATGTTACGTATAATATGCTTTCAAGTCAGTGTTTAAACATAAAAACCAAAGAGCTATGATGTTTATTAATAAAGAGAATCATACTCAAAGAATAACTATGACTTTAATTATCTTACAACAATACAAGTAGGAAGATACAGGGAGTGAACAATCTGAGTATCTGAGACGATATGTACTTCATTTTGCAACTCCGCGATCAGGATAGAAATGATTAAGAATGGACATAAACCTATGACATAACCTAAACACTTCCGGATTTGGGGGAAGGGGAGAAAAGGGATAGAAAAAATACAAGCAAAATCACATAATTTAGCTAGAGGAAAAACTTGGATTATGATGATGAACAGAAGAGAGTATCTGCAGCACCAAACTCCATATTCAATCAAGTCAGTAGGAAGATGAAGAATTGCCTTTACGTAATCCTATCAAAACAGCAGAGCAGCAGCTACAATCATAGACAAGAAAGATAACAATGCTGAAGCTGAAATTTGATTCTGGCTGTTTCGCGATGTTTTGGGGGTTTCTGCTGTTGTTGGGGCAGAGGCATTTTTCTCCACAGGATCAGGGAGAGGCGACTCTGATACATCAGCAACACTGAGGAAAGGATAAGGAGCCTCAGCTGGGGGCATGAAAGATGGGACAATGAGCTGCATGAGTTGACCAGGCTGAACGGGGCTCATGTATGCTGGTGTGTTTTTCTCCTTCAGACACAGATTTTCTGCAAAGGGGGATAAAGAGACCTATATTATAACCTTACAGAGTAATGAAGTTGCTGAACTAAGCATGAAAATTTGATGTTATGTTATGACAAAAGACCCAATAGGCCAAAATATGGATCCTGCTGTTCTCAACGGAACTATAGTGAAAGAAGAAACTACTTTCTTATGACCCATGGAGAAAAGAACAGCTGGAGGTTAGTAGGAGAGCAAAGGCAGAAATAAAAAGAAAGTCTGAAGCCAAAGTTAAGCCTTACTCTTATAATCAGCCACAGTTTTTGGAAAGTCTGTAATGACGCCGTCAACTCTACCTTCCATGACATAAGAATTGATCTCGACAATTGGGTCAGAGAAGAAATCGTATGCTTGGCTGACAAATTCATTTCTGAAAGTATGAACATACACGGGAAGCTTAACTGACTGCAACTGTTGCACAACATTGGTCCCAGCTGTGAGAAATCCCCCATTTGTTGGAAAGATGGACTGCTTATTGACAACTACAGAATCAGCGAATGTCTTGATAGAGGCTATGGTATCCTTCGGAGCTCCACTAATAGACTCATCGACTTCGTAGACAAGTTCATATTTCTTCCCCTTCATTGCCTTGAGGACAGAGCTGTTGGTGGATTGAATCATAACTTTTTTGGCAGTTGGGCCATTGTACCCACCTTTCTCCAAGGCATTTGATACTGCATCAGTTATACTGTAGCCCTCATTCAGTGCAAGGTAATTTGCATTCTAAATTAGCATCAAGAAAAGACAGGATCAGACCTTATTGAAATCATAATTCCAGTTTTGTATATAAGAGCCCAAAAAAAAAAAAAAAAAAAAAACTTCGCATGTGCTATGCCCAAACTTTGTCCTAAAGCCATTGTTAGTTTTAAGTTGGCCAAAAGGTATAACGATTCCAAACACAGTAATGAAATGTTTAAACTACCATACTAACCTACCACAAACTTTTAAAAAAATCGGGTGTACAATAATTATTGTACATCCATTTTAAATCTCTCTTAAAATGATCAAAAGTTACCCCTAAAATGAATAAAAGTTACCCTAATATGTATAAAAATAACCCAATACAAATAAAAATAATCTACGTTTTATTGGTAAAGAATCACATTTTAAATGACTAAAATTCAATTATTAGTGATTGAAAGTAATTTTATCACCCTTATAAAACTTTTCTTGTTCGATTTATAAAAAAAATCATATTATGTTCAAAGTTACCCAAAAAAAGGCAAAAAGTTACCCTAAATTGGCTTAAAGTTACCCCTATACTGGTCGATGTACACTAATATTAGTGTAAACCGGATGTATACAAAAGTTTTTGCTAACCTACAATATTTTACAATTCGCCTAAACCTATGCTTCCACCAAGTAAACTACAACGCCAAAGATTACTTTGAAAACTCATGTGCATCTTATCTAATAAACCAAAGTAAATGCTGAACTTTTTTTATTTTTATTTTATTTTTTTCTGTGACAGACGAAGTAATATATAAGGTTTTTTACAGATGCTCTAGCGCATTAAGTAGATCCCTATGCTCAGATCTGTACTCAAGAAACATCCATTTGGCCTCTAAGAATCAGTCACACCACTGACACTCTGCAGTCTGCACTTTCCCTTTAAACATATTGCTAGTGCTGCATCTACATTTGCTATTATTGCATGCATCAGTGGTTAAACTACTTCCAATGGAAGCCTTGAAGCATGCTATGCATGCCATACTGCTAGTTATCATACTCAGAAAGATGTCAAATTGAAAAAACAGGAACTTTGCAGGAGGTAAATTAGAAGTGAAAAGATAGCCACATATGCATTATGAATAAAAATAAATACAATGCAGGCCTTATAATACACTCACTCACGGACTCACCTCTATTCTGATCAACACACCATGAAGTGATGTTGCGTTTTTGGCAATATTCAAGAAGTCAGCCAAGGATATAATTTTCCCAACACTTTTGCTTTTAGGATTTCTGTACAGGAAATATTCGGTGTACGGGTTCGATATCACAGCTGCAAGCAAGAAAAAGAATGAGCAAAATGTCAATGCTCTCCAATAATGTCAAAATACAAGCAGATAAAGAGTGAGGGGAAACAAAGGGCATCTGGCAAGCATTCAGATCACAGGAAAGACTAACAGTCAAAGCTCACCAAAGAAGCATCTAGCAGAACAAATATTGAGGTTATGGTGTGAAAATCAAATTGGAAATGTTTCACTTTATTTAATTCTTTGTATTTAGCATATAATAAAAGGTACTAAACATCTATAACCTATCTTAAAGAAGTATGAATCTAATTGTATCAATGTTCCTAACAGTATAATTAAAAGGTTATAATGGGTGATTGGAAAATCAATCATAAGTCGCAGAATGAGTAAAAAAACACATTCCAAAACAGCAAGTTCAAAGTCAGTACAGATTATTTTTAATTCCATGATTCAGATTCTTAATCAAATCATTAAATAACCACAACCATTTCAAAAGGACCAACACAACCAGTAAAAATCAATCAAATAGTGAAATTGTAGAAACAGTGATCACTAGAGGGAAAAAAAAGGGGGGGGGGGTGCGCTTTGAACAATTTAGTAAATATTTATATTAGAATATAGATAGGTACATTAAGTCAACGTCATAGTGCCAACTCAAAAAGGTTTTATGTATGTACAACTTTGTCACAGGAAAGTACCATACTCCTAAATATCTTAGAGAAACATCCCATTCCAACACCAGAACTATGTAAGTCCTACCTCCTGTAAACAATACTATAAATTTCAATTCTGATAAATTGAGCCATTAGAGTAAGGTACAAAACCTGAGGTCAAGTAATATAAGGTTGAAAGAACAAGTTTGAAAACGAAACCCTAACTATCAAACTACACTTTGAGCTAGGCCTAGAATATCAGCCCATGGCAAAGTATAATATAAGGTCACTATTGAATGTTGCATATTCGAATTCCAGTGAAATTTAGACACTAATTTTCAACGATACATATCAAAGAAGGATAAACAACCAAATGGTTGAAAACCAAGGGTGAAGTCCTAAGTTATAAATCCCATGATTCCCAATTAAAAGAGCTGCAAGTCAGGCCTTCATTTGTCCAGTTTGACTTAATATCGACTGAGGAACGAAAATTTATAATTAAAAATTCTCATGAACTTTTAGACCCCAGTTTTAAGGGTCAGGAATGATATCAGAGGTAGATAAATGAAACAATTGATCAAAAATAAGACAACCACAATTTCAATACCACTTACGAGTCAAGCCTTGAATATCAGCCCACTTTAGACTGAATGAATATATTCCAGGAGCTGACCCAATATCTTTAATTGTAGCTATTTCACTCCTGAATTGTGTTTGACCGACCAATGTGCTATTCATAAGATTGATAGTGCTCGAACAAAACGGTATCCCGTCTTTTGACATTTGTACATTGCAATCAATCACATCTGCGCCATCTTTAATAGCTTGTTCATATGCTACATCAGTACAATCAGGGAAGTCTCCACTTGCCCCATGGTGTGATATAACCAAGGGCTTGGCTGGAAGAAAACAAGACAAGAATAGGAATATGTTAGCAATGTCAATGTTTCGATAATTAATGTTAGCTTAGAACACTAAAAAAAAAAAAAGTAGAGGCCCAAAAAAAGGAGCTACAAACCTTGAGCTGGTGCATTTTTGCCTAGATGAGCAAAACACTCTGCAAGAAGTTGACACAAGGTTAGCATTTAAGGAATACATAATTATCAGGCCCAAATACCCACATATGAGCCCTAGTTTTTTGGCATACAAGCACAAAGAAGTACACCTACTACTACTATGCCCATTTAACGGACAGCTGGAGTGAAGAAGTGTTCCAAATTCACAATAACATTCAAAATAATTAGAATTTTCTCAGGTAATGTAAAAAACAAACCATCACACATCTGTCTGCAAAGAAGCACAAAGTCGGCTGCTAGAGAAACATAATAACTAAATAGGCTACTGGACAAGTAAAAACTTGGTATATGACATAAGGATCCTTTATTCCAAGGGAAATAAAGGTGAAAGACACAACAAGGCCTTAAGCAATTATACTACAGGAGAATTAAGGTGGATTGCATACAGCAGCACAAGATGTGATGCTTCATCAATCTTTTATGTGAAAAAAAACCCTTGTCATGTAAGGAAATAAAGGGAATGCAGTGGATGCCACATCAAGTATCCATTATCAACAAAAAATGAATATATAAATAATAAAACAGACAGGCTATGACATCTTCACAAAAGCCAGCTTAATTAAGAGAAAAAAAAATGTATAGCAAGCCTTCATCACAACCTAACATCATCATATTACACAATTTTCCTCAATTTTTTAAAAATATGTTTATGATTTATTTAGGGAAATATTACTATGATATTTTTTTTAATTGTAAAAAATTTTTAGAACAATTATGGTATAATTAGGTAAGTTATTACAAACGGGAGAGAAAATATAGCTAACCTCTAGCTTCTGATGGCGTTATTGGAAAATCGGACAGCAGACCATCCACAGAGAAGTCCCCATTATCAATGTAAGAGAGATACTCATTAACTGGGTTGTAACTGTAGTTGTAGGCAAAAGTGGCATCATTAGCAAAATCTGATGCAAAAACTTCAAGCCCGTTTTTATGAGCATCTGCCACCAGAGAAGTATGAGGTTGTAAATATGAAGTTGGGTCAACAGGCCATATGTAAGACTTTGGGACAAGGATTCCGGCAGCAAATTTCTTAATCACGGAGAGATTTTTCAAAAGGGAACCATAAGTCTGATTGGTTGAAGGTTCTGTTGCACCCTTGTCAAGAAATTGAAAAATCAATTTTGTTTTGGTTGCTGCAAAAGGCCTTGCAAGTCCTTGCAAAAATTTAACCTCGGAAGATGAGATATGACTCATTATCACTCTCTTGGAAGCGCTAATGACAAAGCTCCTCATGCTCAGTTTGTGCTGGCTATAGAAAGCATCATTCTGCAGAAAGAAATCAACATAATAATTTACAGTTCAAAGTTAATGCACGTCAAACAACAAATACATGAGAACATTAATGCCAACATCTAAAATGCAATAAGTCACGAACAGTATCTTCATGGAAAAGGCACTGTACCTGAATATTTAACCAGAAACCTGCAGGTTTGTTTTGCATAAACACATCCTCTACAGTCTGAATTCGGAACAAACTCCCATCAAAATCAGGGCTTCGGCTATAAATTCCTTGAGTCACTGCATCATATCATAAGAGAAATCAGTACCAAACATCTAGTGTAAAGAAATGGAATGAATTATGCCAGAAAGGCTCCACAGAGATATTTTCAGTTTCCCATATCTCATGCATGAATGGAGATGGGGGATCAACTTCTGCACAGTTTCCCCATCCTTTAAGCAAAGAAAAATAGCATTTCACGCATCAGGATTAAAAATGGAACATATAAGATTAGAAAAAATTACTAAAAAGCTTTATGGCCTAGGGTCCAGCATAGGAGATATCACTGCTAATCCCATCCATAAAAGCTCAGTTCCTTCACCCTAGGGGGAATCAGTGAATCACACATACATGCTGAAAAATTAATCAACATCCGCCTGAAAACAATAGACCACATTTGACTTTCTTGACCAAAATCTACTAACTTTGACTGTATATTTTAGTAAAGTACGCATTAAGCTAACAAATACAAAATTAAATAAGATAAACAGTAAAAATTAGTTCATCTTTGCCATTTGAAAGTCAATTTGTATTGCACTATTAGCATATTCCAGGCAGTATTTTGCAGGTATAGGTACTTGTAAATGAATATAATCATATTGTTTTGCATAGACATACATATAGAAACTGATGATTAAAATGGCAAGGTTTGACAACATTAAATGTGGCTTTTTTATATAGTAATATCTCCATGCTCCATAATAAAGCAAGCACTGGGCACTGCAACTTACAGCAATGGTGTCTCATGAAAAATGGGCATGATAAACAAATTTCAGACAACATGAACACTAGAAGAGTAGAGTAAGGAGCTCATAAGAAGCTGATTTTGAGAGCTTACAAGTGACTTGTGATAGTTCCTTGAGAGTAAAATCAACGGGGAAATACCCTTTTTTACGATCACCATTAAGATTATATGTACTCTCTCTCTTTGGATACACGAAATTAACAGAAGAGGAATTATCCAGCATGATATCTCGGAAGCATATCCCAGCACCATCCTTTGTTAACTGGACATCACACCATAAGACCAAATCGGGCACACTAGTCATCATTGCCAAATTGTAGGCATAAGCACTAGCTGGAGGGAACAACCCTGAGAATCCATTACGTGCTATGACCAGCGGTGGTGACCCTGAAAAATATTTTCTTCCCCATTAGATAAGAATGTATCATAAGTGAATTAAAATCGAATTGGTGGCACATTATATTTCTGTTAACTTACAATTATGATTTATGAGTGAATAAATTTTACTTTTCAAACAAAGAGCTTATATACTTATGCTAGCTTCAGATTAAGAATGACAGTAAATCAACAAATAAGACACTACAGTATCCATAGGCTATGTTGCTCCAACTATCACTTCACCTCAAGTACTCATATCAGGTACTCGAAACATGGACACGCGTCAGTGTATGACACATAAAACACTTCATTTTGTACCAAATCATGCAAATATTTTGGCCATGTTTGGTAAATGGCTTTTTGGTGGCTTTTTGGTTAGCTTTTGGATTTTGGCTTTTTTATGAGGTCAAACAGCCAAAAAATGTGTTTGGTAATTGGCTTTTTAGCTAGTGAAAAAGCTGGCTTTTAAGCCAAAATGAAAAAGCTGCTTTCAGTAGCTTTTTTGTTGGCTTTTGGCTTGTTGGCCCACAAATTATCTAATAAACAGCCAACTACCAACAATTAATTTACCAAACACTTTTATAAACAGCCAGCTTTAACCGCCAATTTCAAAAGTCATTATAAACAGCCAAACATACCAGCTGGTCAAACAAGCCAAGTGAACCAGCCAACCGCCAACAGCCACTTGCCAAACAAGGCCTTTATGACAAGGCCATGTCTAACACTTGGGACATGTACTCGTATCCAACTCTCCTTGCTGTGTTTGAGTAAAACAATCCACAGGAAGAGTAATATGATTTTTTCAATGCTAATTTCATAGCAATCCTTAATAATTACATTTTGCCAATTTTAGCAGGATCTAGATTCCAGCTTTCCAATACCAGGTATTATAGGCAATTCTAGCATCAATAACACCAACATTAAAATCCCAACAAATTACATTAATCTCAAATCTAGTACTCTAACAGCGTCATCTCCAAGGACTCCAACCTATTGAAACTAATTCATAAAAAAAACTCCATCAATAAATTTACCAGAAAATGAAGTAAAATTAGTTCTTACTTACTTACCCTTCAGATCTCAAACACTTCAGTAAACAAATCACAAAACAAACACAATATTAGCTCAAAAAAACTCCAAATTAACCCAGAAATTGAAACTCCATAACTCAACAATCACCAAAAATAAATGCAACCCAGTTCACAAAATCAAATTTTTAACAAAACCCACATCCCAAAATCATGCAAAAATTTCATTAAACTGTAAAAATCAACAAAAAATGCTGGAAAAAGAGAACAGAGATTAAAAAAAAAAAAAAAACAGTACCATCAAGAGTAAGCCAATTGCTTTGAGATTTCTGGGCAGAAGAAAACACAGTAAGCTGAAGAAGTAGAAAAGCTACTGCAATAACAACAGTACTAAGATTGAAACCACCCATTGCCGGAAAATATTTTCCGGCGAGATATTCTAAAGCCGGCGGTGGAGATTTTGGGAGTAAATTGAAGTGGGTAATAGCAGATTTTGTCGGATTTTAAGTGAGGTGACAAATTTCCAGCTCTGAAGAGAAGAGAGAAAGTTGAAAAAAAAAAAAAAAAACGGGAACTTTACAGGTTTGTGGGGTTTTTAGTGGATTTGAAGTGTATTTATTTTACGTGTTGAATCATAAATATAGAAATTACTACACTAATAAAGATGAAATTAGATTTGGGTTGATATTTAAAATAAAAATTAGAAATTTCAGAAAATGATTGAAGTCAGGTTGTCCATGAAAGATGTGATAGGCGGCTTCAATTGCTGAGCCACTTGATTAGGAGCTAATATAAGGAGCTTAGGGTATGTCAAATTTAGGCAAAATTGGCCGCAACACCTTGAACTATGGCTTAGGTGCACTGAGCACTCTAAACTGTGCGTAGTAGCCAAAACACCACCAACTATAGTGTTAGGTGCGACGCGTGCCTCAAATGAAAATTTTCGGCCACTTATTTCATCGGACGAGGTGAATCCATGCGTGCTAAGTGGATGGAAAACTACATCACTGTTCTAGAGAGTGAAGATTCACCTCGTCTCGGTGAAATAAGTTGCCGGAAATTTTCATTTATGACACGTGTTGCACCTAACACCATAGTTGGTGGTGTTTTGGCTACTACGCAAATTTCAGGGTGCTCAGTTCACCTTAGCCACACTTCATGATGTTGCGGCCAATTTTGCCTCAAATTTATTGAACTTAACTGAATTGAACAGATTGGATCTGAACTGAACTGAGTTGAAATGAATATTTTATGAGAGAAGAAAATTAGAAGTTGAACTGAACTGAAATTAAGCTAAAGTGAAAAGGTCCTTAGGTATACACTCGTGAGTATTATGAGCTAATATAACGAGCTTAGATATACACATGAGTATGATGTGCATGAATATGAATTATTTGATGTTTTAGCAAACTTTACTTACTAAAGGTATGTTCTAATAAACTGTATTCAGCTGAACTAAATATTTTATAAGAGCACTCACATTAGTGAGCAAAATTTTTTTTGTTCATTCTCTCTCTAGCCACTTTCTCTCTCTTCCCAACCAATTTGCTCATGAGCATTTTTGGTGAGGAAATATTATCCCACTAGTGATAAAAAAATAATTGAATTGCTCATGAGCATATTTTAGTTTGCTCATTGATGCAGTAACATTTCATTTCTACCATTTTTGCTCATCAATTTTGGATGAATGGTGGGGCCCACGAGATTACTATTCATCATGAAATTTGCTCATCCTATGAGCAAATTCTGAAATAATGCTCATGAGCATTTTTCATTTTCCTCATTGATGTAGTACCATTTCTACCAAATTTGCTCACCATTTTTGCTTATGAGCAAAAAAATGCTCACTGATGTGAGTGCTCTAATAGAAGGAAATTAGGAGCTGAACTGAAACTGAGCTGAGTTGAGCTGAACTGAACTGAAAATAAACGTATGAGAACAAACCCTAACTTTTTAAAAAAAATTAAAAAAAAAATTATGAGTTTTCTATGACTAGTACTAAATTCTTTTGCTTCATACAAGTAGGACTATAGGAGTCTGTGATACATTAATGTTGCTCCGTAATTGATTAAAGGGGTTGTTTGGCAATCAACAGTTAGCTGGTTTGATTGGCTTGTTTGACGGTTTCACCAACTAAAAGTATTAGTTGTGTGGATTGAGTTTTTAATTTAGTTGTTTGAATCAACCATTTACAAAATTGTTTGGCAAAATTAGTTGTGGCTATTTGTTGCTTATTAGTGAAAAAGTGCGTCAACAAGCTAATTGAAAAAAGTTAACACTATTGACTTCTAGCTTTTGGCTGAAAAGCTAGCTTTAAAGCCAGAAAAAAAAAAATCAACAACTAAACATATCTTTTGGCTATTAGACCAAACTAAAAAACTATTTGCCAAACACCCCCAAAATCTTGTATTGGTGCATGTGAGAAAGGGATTAGTACGTAAGATTTATATACAAGAAATACAAATCAATTACAAGGTTGATTGTTGCCTAGAATCATGGGTGATCTTTGACCCATCCAATTTATTAACGGTTTTATATAAGTGAAAATTATGTAAATATAATGCACCGTTATATATATTTTAAGTATATAGCTAGTTGAATAATATCTTTTTCAAGGTATACACTCATCAATTGAATTGAGTATGTAATGTGTAACAATTGAAAGGCTAGTTCCCTAATTAAGAATCTGGTTAGATTGAATCCTATCAAATCTTATACAAAGTATAATTAAATTGAAGTAGGCTATCAATTTGTTAAAATGAATAAGAACAAACTTCATTCGACTTCAAACTATAATAAGAATAATAGCTTCAATAATAGCTTCTAGCTATATATCTTGATTCTTGATTAGCTCACTATCACTATCAAATTACACCAAGAGACGTAGAAGTACCTAGCTAAGGGACATAACACACAACAACAACGACTTAGGGCGTCAACCCATCTATTACATACAATATATATGTTGTCAATTTTCATGTTTTGAATGAATACAAAGTATAAATTATTCTTTCTACAAGTTGATTAGGATATATATGGACCATGCATAGATGCTAAATATATACTTGTGATAAGTTTTTATAGAATTATTTTTTTCCCCTTATTCAAAAATGCTTATAAATTTAGATAATTTCATATACTAGTAAAATATTATTTATGAAACTTATAAGTTTATGTATGAACGAATAAGCTAGGGTATACGATTTCAATTAACAACGAACTAGCTAGATAAGTGAAAAAACATATTAAATACAAAGTTAAGGTGCGTCCAACTCACACTTATTATTGTATTTACTTACTAAACTTAATCAAAACTTATGTTGATGATGATGGTGTAAATTTATCAAACCTAATCAAAACTTATGTTAATGGTTTAGACTTAGGTAACTCTTATCACTGTATCAGAACTTATTAGCTATAAAACATGTTTTCAAAACTTATCTTATCTAAATCATCGCTTTCTTCTTTCACAAATAAACTTCATTCAACTTCAAATTGTATGGAATAATAGTCATCCAAGAGACCAAGACTCCAAGTTTCTAGCTATAATGTTGATTAGTTCGCTATCACTATCAATATCATACCAAGAGATATAGGCCTACCAAACTAAGAAACATAACACATAAAAACAAAGAATTTAGGCATCATCTATCCTGTATAAATACTTTTCAATATAATTTTCATGTTTTGAATATAAATACTATTCTTTCTACAAGTTGTTGATTATGAATTTATGATATGGATCGATGTTATAAAAAATCCAAGTACATGTGAGATGAGCATGCAAATACGGAGAATTACACCCAATTATGCCGCATTGGAGCGCACATGAGTAAATGACAAGCATCCATCATGAGTTCATGACCGTTACCCGACCCATAGCCCATAGGTTAAAATTATGTGACCATTTATTTACATAATTACTTTTTTTTTTTAAATATAAATTATTACTTTCTTTGAAAATCACTATCTTGCTATTCAAATGCTATGTTTTAAGGAAAAAAAAAAAAAAAAACGTTTATATTCTTTTTATAACTGTCTATTAGTACAGTCAAGATTAGTACTACGAAGTAGTATACATGTACATTACAATTTTCGATCGATTATTTACCATATTGTATCTTGTATGTTATTTCAGACCTGATTCGATCGAACGATGTTTTTATTACTTCTACATAATCGCATTTCTCTTATGCCCTTCAAATGCTCCATTATAATTTAAGCTTTGATTTTCTTAATTTGTGAGGGTAGGAGTAATGCATTTAATTAGTATTTAGCTAATGTTAGAATGTCCCGTCAATCATGCAACCTAAAACGTAAAATAAACAATAAGAAAATGAAGAAACAAATCTTAGGAAAACAAATTATAAATAAACGATGAACATGATCTAGTAAATCATCATCATTAGGACCACATACGTTGTCGTATGCATAATGCATGAAGAAATAAATAGAAACAGAATTGTATATTTAAGCTCTATTTAAACAATTGGGAATTGCATTGTTTCATTCAACCTACTTTTTATTTTCTATTAATATATAATTTTCACCGTAATTATCACGATGCTAATAGGATGCCGTGCATGCTTTCTTGCACATACATATATAGAAATTTCTTTACTTCACAATCTCCTAAATTACCACCCTTACCATTAAAAAAATAAAATAAAAAAAAATAAAAATAAAAAATAAAAAAACTACTTTGTATTCCATTCTCCATTTAATGTCTAATTAATTGATGGATCTTACAAAAATACTACCTCCGTTACAGGTTATATACAACAATTTAACATAAAGCAGAGAGGGGAAATGTCTAATCGCTGCACATAACATATAACGGAGGTAGTAACAAAATTACACATGAGGGTAAGAACTAAGAAAGTAAACAAACGTTTTATAGACAGTAATTATTCATGAACTATTCATATATAAGAACAATCTCCTACTTTTTTTATAAGTTAGGATTAGGATAGGAAAATATTGCAAAACATAGAAAGTTGGCTAAGCTGAAGCCATTTTTAGAGCCGGCTACTAAAGGAAGCCAACTACGAGTAGATAATATGAACTGACCAAAATAAATACGTACTGTAATATTATTACCACATTTTTTAAAATTACAGTAAAATTATTAAATTATTAAATTATCCATTTAATTTGCCACGTGTAATATTTTCCATTAGGTTTCTCAGATAACATAAGCAAACGCGCAGAATGTGGGACCAATACCAGCTAAAAGTTCTTCAAGACAGTTGGGATTTGCGACTGTCTTTTTGTAGTGCACACCGTATATTTATTAAACAGTGAAATTAAACCCCTTTTTTATTTTTATTTTTTAAATCATGACTTTTTAAAATTATGATTATAAAAAGATTGAATCATATTAGAGGTTTAGGCAACGTAAAATAATTTTCCAAAAAAAAAAAAAAGGCAACGTAAAATAAAGCCAATACTTTTCTTTCAAAAATAAAATAAAGCCAATACTTGCTTTCAAAAAATAAATAAATAAAGCCAATACTTCTAGTTTAATGGGTCATGGACTCAAGGTACAATATTGGGCTTCTTCTAATTTAGGTGGATAGTACTCCTTGTGCCAAAGGGGGTGGTGATCTGGGCCCTAGGGGATGTGTATTGAAGTAAAATATATTACTCCCTTCGTCTCTAAAAGAATGATCTATTTAGTCTAATTTTAGTCCCAAAAAAATGATATATTTAC